TTTACTTGTTTTCCTCATCTGGGACATTTAACAATTGAATTGGTGGTAAGTTGCAGAGCTTTAGGGTCAGGTACATTCCCAGTTTATTAAGGACCATTAGTGGGCAAGGACCTTTGCAGAGCAAGAGAGAAGAGATCCTTGCCCTGAAGAACTCTCAATCTGAAATTAGGCACAGGGAGGAAGTGAAAAGGAGACAGGGCCCAAGAAAGGGGAAATACGGGTTTCAGTTCTTTATATGTTCTTATAAGATGTACCTGCTCTAACCTCTGAGAGATAAAAATGACCCATCTAACCTCTTAGGCATTTGTTAGGTTGAGAAGACTCATGATTTATCTGTGACCTGACTGGTACAACTTTGCAAATTTATCTAGTAGCTTAATCCCATTAATTTGCTGTGTAAACAAACCCTTCTGAGGTCACCAGGATTCTGGCAGCCATTTTTTGTCTCTGGGCACAGAGCAGCTGGAAACACACAAGTTCTGGATCAAGATGGAAAGAGCATGTCCAACATTTCTTTCCCCCAGGGAGCTTTACTTATGGCCCCAGCTAAGTCCATTTGTGTAATAATGTTAAGGGTCTGGGGAAATGGGCAGCCAGCTATCCTGGGACAGACTCTGCTTGAAGCCCAGAAACCTTCAACACCTTTCTTCAGTCAAGGATGGCTTACAGCTCCTACTGGCCAGCCTGCACCTGCTACAGGCTGTCTCTTGGTTCTGAAGATTATATTCTCACATTAAAGCCATGCCATGATTAAAATGAAAGGGAAAAGAGGGCGCACATTTAATAAAACCTCAATATAATCAGTATCTTTAACCTCCCCTCCTCAGACCCTAAATGGCGTTAATGGCATTTTATTACAGGCTGCAAAGTTAGAAGAATTTAAAAATAACCAGGATGCTTAGTAGAAAAAAAGCTGCAAACTGACGTACACAGTACTGACATATCCAGAGTTATGGGATGCAGGGGTGGCTACCAATAAACTGGATGATTTTAAGCCAGCTCTTATTTTATTAGGACCACAATGGCTCATACATTAATTGGTTATTTAAGGGACATAAACATGCTTAAGCAGCTTAAAGAATGTATCCTGGGGAATCACTTGGCAGATATTTTTTTAAAAATTATGTTAATATTATTTATTTTTAATGATTGATAGATATCTTTATGCATGTATAAATAGCATCAAGCAATTTTTTCTTCCAAATTATCATCACACCACATACAAAACTGCACCGAATCATGCTGACATCAAGAAGGCTGCTACAGCTTGCTTGCAAACTTTCTCCAACTCTTAATGAATCACTGTACTTATTGTGGAACTTACAGGTAATTACAGCCTTTGGAACAGCAAGGTTAAATAGCCAGATTATAGAGCAGGTAAAAATCTCATCCTAAATGCATGGAAAACAGCGGCAGTTACATAGTCCATCCACTTTACCAGAGGTGCACAGCATATCCCAGTAGCATTAAAGCTTTATTCGGCCAAAGCACATACACAATTATTGTCTGGGGCTCAACTGAGAACTTACAGTTCTTTTGCCCCACTGGAAAGGGTTCGACCCAAATTTCTAAGGGCTATATTCCAAATGGCCCCATGTGTCTTAAAACAGTATTAAAAATCAGAAGGGAGTCTGATTTTCATGAAAAGCTTAGGCCTTTTAATAAAATCTGTTAGTTGGAAAAGGTGCTACCAGACTCCGACTTTTTTTTTTTGCCACAATAGACTTAACGTGTCTCTTCTCCTACAATGTCTCTAATGTAATATTAGGGAGAAAGGGCTGATCAAAGTTGAAAAGGTGTATGGATTTGCATTATTGCATATTGGTGGAAATAACTATTCTTTTCAGATAGCCTGGGCTCTTTGTAGACAATTATGAATCAATATGGAACAGGACGATTCTGCAAGAACTGCAATACCGGGGTTTTTCTAGGAAGGCCTTTTTAATGATGGACTATGACTGAGCACTCATTGCACTTAAGTAATATGCCTGAGATCTGGAAGCCAAGTGGATCAATGTGCCTTCCCCAGAAATGTTTTTCTGAATAGCCAGGTCCTTTCTTTAGACCAGCAAGATATCTGCCACATATAACTGTCCCTAAACTCCAAAGAGTGCTAACCTGAGTATGCCTCAATGTCCTCCCTATGGCAGTTCTTGAAGGGAGACACAATACCCTCCACCCCCAAGAGCTAAGACTGTGCCTTGTGGAGAAGGGCTTACCTTCTCCACCATATTCCATGTCCTGCTGTATTGTATTCTTCATCAGGATGCAAAGGTCCATCTTATCACTTCTTATTTAACAAGGTAACCAGGTAATTCTGATCTATTCTATGCACAGCTATTATTATCAGACCAGTATGATTCAGTTCTATGAACATGGCCAAATTTTGTGATACTATTTGTAAAACCAGACACACTTTGATTTCCTCGATGATGTAGCTGTAAATTATACTGTTTTATTCCGTTTCAACTGCTCTTACTGAATTCTGGTCAGGACCATAATAAAGTACTGAACTGAGCAACTTAGAGGCAAGACCAGTTGTCTGCATAGCAGCAGTTAAGGGAATTGGTTGTGAGCTGGCAAAAAGAGGGTGGTGGATTTCCAGACTACTTAGTCTTGATTTACTACACACAGATCCCAAGAACTTTGCAATTTTTCCTTTGATTCTCACAATCCACAAAGGAGGTTTGATGGGACCCAAGGCAACCAGTGAGTTTAAAGCTACTGGTTCAACTGAGCCACTGTACTGATCCTACCCTGGGAAGAAAACAAGAGTGGCCTACTTTGGGGGTTTGTTTAAGAATTATTCATCCACAAAAATCCCAAATATTAGTCACAGTCCTAAAAAAGGGCTGTCGTAAGGTCATCACATTTTTTTCAGCCCCTAAAATCAAAGCAAGGAAGAGGAAGATACCTCCAGCCGCCCAACAAAATCCCAAGGGAAGGGTCCTTCTGTTTTTGATGCAAATATAAACAAGCCATTAAACTGTGATTTCTGGGAAAGAAAAGGTGGATTGAAGACTGCTCCACGAAAAGCAGAGCCGACAACTACAGGAGAATGAAGAGCCAGAGAGTAGACCAGCTCTTCATCAATGCGTCTCTGGACAAGAAGAGGATTTGAGATTCCCCACAAGTGCCCCAGATAGTTGCTCCTTGTGAAGAGAAGGTTGTTCCAGAGCCCTGGGACACGAGGGAATAGCCATCTTTTTGCTCAAACCACCGTTGGCGCCTTTAAATTTGCATACTTCCTCTTCTAATCACTTTCAGAAATTGCTTGTTAACTGCTTTTCAGCTACTAGGAACCTTTGGATT